CAAGAATTAGCTAAGTAAGTCAAAACCATCACACGATCACAAACATATGTATCTATGAATGAGTCTGAGCCTCGTAGACCTAAGCAAACACTAGGGTGTAAATACTTTTGGGCGAAGAGGTTTTTGCACTCATTTAATTGTGATGGGTGACGTCATGCATCCAAGATGAGAATATATTTTATTAGGGGAACATTTGAACGGGGTATTAAATATCAAATATTCAAACAAGATCCAACTAATATCACATATCGGGCGCTGCCTACCCGAGCATAATATAACGCGGTACGACAAATACTGGGCACCGCTTACCCAGGCATAATATAGTGGTCCACAAATACTGGGCGCCGCCTACCCAGACAATATATAACGCGGACGCTAACTAAAATAAATAAACTATTTAATTTATTTCAGTTAGACAAATAAGAGCAAATAATCCAATTATCATGCATTTATAATATTCTAAACACATAAATATGTATTCAAAAAACATATGCCAAGCAAATTCATGGATCAAAATAATGTGCTAAAATGTTTATCAAAATTTCTAGAATTTTGAAACAAGCTCGAAGCTTTATTTTGTTCATTAAATATTTCAAAAATATTTAATAGCCATTTATCAATAGTTTTTAGTTTGAAATATACCCTAAGGGTTAATTTCAATTTTACGGATTTTTCAAAAATTTAAAACAAGCAAGATAATCACTATTTAAGATTTTCCAAAAATCTGATTTTTCCAAAAGCCAAACAGGCCTTAAAATTTTTTCAGATTTACTAATTGGCCCCAAGGACCAAATTGTAGTTTCTTTTAACTTTTCGAAATCACAGATTTGCCCCAAGGCAAAATTGCAATAACAAAATATGTGAAATAGCAAATCAACCCCAAACTATTATCAAATTTTCAACAATTGGTCCCTGCAGCTTCAAAACCCTATTTCACGCCAGCCCACCTGCTCCCCTCTGCGCAATGGCCGCGGCTCTTCACTTCCGTCAAGCCATCGCCGCCCCAGGCCGGCAGCTTCTCGCCGAAATCCCAGATTTTTTTTTTAAGTAAGTCCGCCATTAATGGCGGACATGAGCTCGAAGCTCGAATTTCGGACGAGGACGAGGGCAGAAGCCGGCGAGTACGAACGGCAGCATACGATTCCAAATCGTTAATTGTTCGACGAGCGATGGCTCTTGCTGGATTCCAAATCCTTTTATTTTTTTATTTATTTTATTTTATTTTTTTTTTTTGCAGCAGCTGCCGTCGGCAACCCTAGCCGAGAAAGTTCCGGCGTCCAGCCACAGAGGCGACAATCGCCGGCAGTGGCAGCGTGATGGTCGTGTATGGCAAATCGGCAGACGGGCGAGGCGAGAGTTCAATTCCCAGAATTCCAGTTTGCAGTTACGAACAGATACAACAATTCTTAATGTTAGTTTAACAACATTAAAACAATTTTAATGATGAATTAAACTAATAAAATACTCATTAGCAGATTCCAAATCGCAGGCAGATTCAACCGAGTTGAATTCCAAAATTTCAAATCTGTAATTGCCCGTAGTATACAATTCCAAATCCCGAGAATCGAGAGTATGAACGAAATCCAGAAACTTAATGACATTAATTCCAAATTAATTATCTTTAACATGATTAACACATTTTTTTATCCATGTAAATCCAATTTAAAATCAAATAGCTATGAACACCGACCCGGTGCTCTGATACCACTGTTGGATTTTAGACGTACGAACCCAGCGTACGCGCAACGGAATTTTAACATTTTCTTACCAACAACGAAGATCCGGCTAATAGCTATTTGATGTGATCCTAAATCGCGTGAATGATCAACGAAAACTTACCGTTATTCGTCTATGTCCTCGACTATGGTATCCACGCAATCCAGTTTCCGATGCACGATCAAACGCCAATGAATCCTCTCCAGTGAAGAAGCTAGGAATCTTCGATCCAGAAAGCTAGAGAGTGTTTAGAGAGTGTTTTGTCGTTTGATGTTGACCTCTCAATCTCTAAGATGTTTGGGATCTCTCAAAGTCTCTCTCTTATCGATCCAACGATTAATGATTATGAAGAGATAATGAGATATTTATAATTAGGTCAAAATCTAATTATATGGGCCTTAGGATACCCTACAGCCCAATAAGTAATTGGACCTAATCCAATTAATATTTTAATTAAATATAAATCTAATTTAACTTAATATTTTCCATTAAATAGAAAATTATCTCATTACTAATTAAGTATAAATCTAATTTAACTTAATTAAATATTTTCTATCAAATAAAAAATAATCTCATTACTCATAAATAAATATTCCATTCCAATTGAATATTTAACACTCTCGATTCACCCTTAGTTGGAAAACTGATTGCTTATTGTGTGACCCTATAGGCCTTCATATATTGACATAAATCTAATTTATGATCCTTACGAAACTCCTAGACTGCGTCGAAGGACGAACTCAAAATATGAAGTACGTTTACATGGACAAGCAAACAAACCTTTAGTGTAGAATTCAATAGTGATACGGTCCCTTTATTCACGACCCACTCGATTAAGTTTAGGATTTGAACGTGTGTCTATCCAAACAGCTTAATCATTTTATCTCATCTCACTGGTTGATTTTATCAATTACATTTGAACACCTTTTCAAATATAATCATGTGCATTGGCCAATGACTTTATCAACCTAGTATAGAGAAAACAAGTGTTCTCTCGAAACTATATTCGAGGAATGAATCCTATCTTGGCTGAACTACCAATCCCATGTATATCGTGATCTACCCAACATGAGCCTGTGTCTACCCATAAGGGCGTAAGCGTTGGACTAGGTCTAAGTAAATAACTCTATACATGAATTGCGTATTGACCTCAAGTCAAAGGACTATTACACCATTCCACACACCGATACTCCCATAGACACATAAACAAATGGTTTATCGATAGGGTATGCCAATACTCTCCAAAGTATCCATGTGTCCATCACGAATAACAATTACTCATAGCAATGAGACATACTATATTCTCTAAGAATATGATGAGACCACATGTCAATCTATCGTGTATCATTAATATCCCTTTCTTAATGATCATCGATTGAGGCGATTTTAGAGTTATACTTTATCAATTAACATCTCACTCTGCTAATGACAGTATCAACTCAAGGGAGCAATTAATTAATAAATTGCAAACAATCAAATAATTATCTAATTAATTGCAATACCATAATTATAATCCAATATAATTATTAATGTGATCATGTATATATGTCTTTAAATTAATTGTCTCTAGGACACATATACCAACAATAACTTAGTGGATCATTCTTGATGATGCACTCTATGATCGACATGTTGACTTTTGCCTAACATGAAGGTTCTTATTATAGAAAATAGACTTATGTACCATTTATTTTTCACCATCTAGGCATCTACCAAATTTTTTCTATAGTGTTATTCAAAAGTAACCTGTACAGCGTATCACTATCTCAAGTTATATAAACAATATTATAGAAAATGTTACGGTCCCGTTACGGAATTTTTCTCTTAGACTTTGTAACCGTTAGTTCATCATGTAACCATCGAGGATAGTTGATCTAATGGTTAGGGCTATAAACGAGCCGAGCCGAGCTCGAGCTTAAGGTGTTTGAGCTCGAGCTCGAGCTGAGCCGAGCTCAGCTCGTTAAGTAAGCGAGCCAAAAATCGAGCTCGAGCTCGAGCTCGGCTCGTTAAGGCCTCGAGCTCGAGCCGATCTCGAGCTCTAACGAGCCAAACTATAAAAAATTACATAAATTTCACTTTTCGAGCCTTATCAAGCCGAGCCGATCTCGGCTCGTAACCAAACGAGCTTTAAATGAGCTCGAGCTCGGCTCGTTAAGGCTTCGAACTCGAGCCGAACCGAGCCTTAACGAGCCGAGCTCGAGCTCGAGTCGAGCCGAGCCAAGCTCGTTTAATTTACCAGCACTACTAACGGTTAAAAAACCCCCCACTGAATGGTTTATCATTACTTTCCGTACATTCCATAATCAAATGAAGGCATCAACTGCAATTTGAAACGGGCAATTATTTTATTCACAAAATCTAGAAACCAAGAAAAAACAAGCAATTGTCTCAAGCATATGCATCATGGGGGCCAACGTTCGGGCCAGAGACCAAAAGTTTGACACACAAATAACATAAAATATCTCTCCACTGTTCCATAGCCCATCAATCAATTTAGAGAAAAGAAAAAGGTAAAAAGAAAAGCCAAACTATGCTTTGCAGCCTAGCAGCCACATACTTTCAACATATAACATTCAATGTGACATTACAAAATTCAACATGAATTGGTCATATATCTTCATCAAATACACAAAATACCTTTCATTCACGGTTGGTGAACTGGTATTCACATGAATGAACATTCAGAAAAAATAAATCATGAAAGGGAACCGGGTAAACCCGGGCGTTCGAGGGCTCATTTGAACGGGTCGAATAAACCCAATTAAGAACCCATCCATTCCTCTCCTATGAAAATACAAAGTGGTGTACCAACAGAGACTTCACCATAGCAGGATGCATTGAAAACACCATCTATAGCACTTATTTGTACACCAAACAAGCTTCAATGTAATTTACACACAACATAATGAACCAAAAGGCCTATACATCCTTCATATTTGTAAAACTAAACACAGTATATATCCACACTTACCGGTCACCAAGTACCTAGTACTGAAGGCATGGACCGGCATAGATGTATTTTTTTTTTAAACTTTATTCAAATTGCTCCAGTTTCCGCAAAATCAGCTGGCGCGCAGACCAATGATGCCCGTTTCTGCAGGTGCTTCAGGCTTCTCTCCATGCTGACCTGGACCATCTCGGCCAGCACCCTCTTCGCTTTCCAAAGCTGCTCCTCCCCCTCGATCCCCGACACAATCCCGCGCACGATCTCCTCCAGCTCGTCGGGCCCTACCCCCTCCGACCTTGGGCCCGGGTCCTCCCTCAGCAGGCCCA